ATACTTATAATTTTATTATTTCAGAAATTTTTGCTGGGTTATGGATACCAGCATCAGCAGCTTGTTAATCATCATTATGGATACCAGCATCATCAGCTTGTTATTCCATATTGACAAACTCTGTAGTCTTATCAGCTTTTAATAATTTTCCCTTAGCAATAGGTATTACAGAATCTAATTTATATATAAACGATACAAATATAACTGATATATACATAAACAGGTTTAATATTGAGCATTGTCCTACTGAGGCTAAAAAAGGTGGAGCACTTTTATACTTACGCTCAAATTTAAACTACGTCGTTCGCAATGATCTTAAGAATTACTCTTCAAAACATTTAGAATCTATTTTTGTTGAAATTTTAATACCTTTTGAATCAAATATAATAATTGGTTGCATTTATCGTCACCCCTCAATGAATCAACATGAATTTACTTCTTCCCACTTAACTCCTCTACTTGAAAAGTTAAATAACGAAAAAAAAAAGATTTTTCTATTGGGTGATTTCAATATGGATTTATTAAGTCACAATGAATCTAACCCTGCTTCTACATATCTAGATTCTTTAACATCTTACTCGCCCTTCTATAATTTTGCCATCACGCATAACGGCTACATCAAAAACGTTCATTGATAACATATTTACAAACTTTCATTCAACTGATCAATTCTCAGGTAACCTTACTATTTCAATTTCAGACCACATGGCACAATTTATTTGCATTCCTGGCATACCCCACCACCCCAAAAAAGTAAAAACTTACAGTTGATGCTTCAAAAAAATTTAATAATAATATATTTATTGAAGAAATTTCTGATATCAACTGGGAACTCTTCATTAAAAAAGATGATGATGTTATTAAATCCATGAATTTTATTTTAAAAACATTTGATGAAATCTTAGATCGACATGCTCCTTATAAAATACTAACCAACCAACAAATTAAACTAAAATCAAAACCTTGGATTACGTATGGAATACTTAAATCTATTTCAGTTAAAAACAAACTTTATAAAAAGGTTATAAAATCAAAAAATATTTATAAGAAAAATGAATTATTTGCAAAATTTAAATTTTATAGAAACAAAATTTTTAATTTATTAAAATTTAGCAAAAACACTTTATTACTTATTCTAACAATAATCTGAACAATATTAAAAACACCTGGAAGGGAATAAAAGAAATCATTAATATTAGACCTTCTACACACAATACATTTTTTAAACTTAAATTGAACAAAAATCTTATCACTGATCACACTGCCATATCTAATATATTTAATAATTACTTTAGCACTATACACAACAAACTACTTAGCAAAGCCATACCCCCTAAACGCATATTTAGTGACTTTCTTAACATCCCAAATGCTAATTCATTTTTTATTAATCCAGTAACTGAAAATGAAATATCTGGTCTCATTACAAACACGCTTAAAACAGAAAAAAGTCTTGGTCCTAATGGCGTACCTACATTTCTCCTCAAACTAGTCTCACACATTATTTCAAAGCCTCTCTGTACTGTTATAAATAACTCATTTAAAAGTGGTATTTTCCCAGATATTTTTAAAGTTGCCAAAATTATTCCAATATTTAAAAAAGGCTCTCTTCTAGATTTCACCAATTACCGACCCATCTCTCTGCTTTCTAATATAGGTAAACTCTTTGAGAAGGCAATGCATAATAGGCTATATTCTTTTCTTAAAAATTTTAATTGTTTTTACACCCATCAGTATGGATTTCGTGCCAATCACTCCACAACTCATGCTCTCATTGAAATGACTGAACTAATTAGAAAAACACTTGATGATAAATGTTTTGCATGTGGTGTATTTGTCGATTTACATAAAGCGTTTAACAAGTGGATCATTTTTTTAAAAAAATTAAAATATTATGGGATCAGAGGCGTATCGCTTAAATGGTCCACTACATATTTAAACAATAGAACACAATTTGTTTCTATTTTTGTTAAAAAAATTAAAATATTATGGGATCAGAGGCGTATCGCTTAAATGGTCCACTACATATTTAAACAATAGAACACAATTTGTTTCTATTAATGACACAATTTGTTTCTATTAATGACTCAACATCTACCCTTGTAAAATGTTCTAATGGTGTTCCTCAGGGTTCAGTATTAGGACCACTGCTTTTTCTTCTTTATATTGATGATCTTCATACATCCATTAAGTTAGCTACTGTTTACCACTTTGCTGATGATACTAATCTAATACTAATTAATAAATCTCTTGAAAAAATTAACAAACACATTAACCATGATCTTGCCAACCTAGTTCTGTGGCTTCGCTCCAACAAACTTTTTCTAAACTCTAATAAAAATGAACTCATTATCTTTAAATCAAATAAAACAAAAATCTATAAACATATGAACTTTAGATTAAGTGGCAAAAAAATTGAACCTGTTAACTCAATTAAATATCTTGGTATAAAAATCGATTCAAATCTTTCCTTTTTATCCCACTGTAAAGACTTAGCAATGAAACTAAGTAGATCTAATGGTATGTTGGCCAAAATTCGCCATTATGTTAATTTTGAGACACTCTTGAACATATACCATGCTATTTTTGGCTCACATCTTAAATATGCATGCCAAGTATGGGAGCAGTCCCATCAAAAAGCTCTTATTAGGTTATCCCACCTCCAAAACAAGGCTTTAAAAATTATTCATTTTCAGAGTATTAAATTTAATCCTAATGCTCTACCTAATTTCTAAAGTATTAAAACTATGTGACTTTATTCAACTCTTGAACTGTCAATTTGTCTGGTACCACCAACACAATAACCTACCTTTAACTTTCATTAATTTCTTTTCCAAAAGTGCCAACAATCGTTATCACCTTCGTTCCAATAGTAATTTAAACCTGTCTGTCTCTAAACACCGCTCTCATAATTACGGGCATAAATCCATAAAATATCAAAGCACTAAAACTTGAAACAACCTTCCTTATGAACTAAAAGCTCTCAATTCATTCTCAACCTTTAAAACCAGTTTATTCTGCTTTTTATTTAAAAAATATAGTTAATGTTTATAATTTCTATAATCAATTTTTGTTGTCTTAATATATATATATATATATATATATATATATATATATATATATATATATATATATATATATATATATATATATATATATATATATATATATATATATATATATATATATATATATATATATATATATATATATATATATATATATATATATATATATATATATATATTTATATATATATATTTTTTTTTTTACAATTTCTATTCTATATTTTTTATTGATTATTGTTATTTTGTTATTTTTACTAATATTTACTATTGATAACTACTTTTAACTTTTATTATTACTAATACTAATATTGTTGTTATTATTGTTATTATTATTATTATTGTTGTTATTATTGTTATAACATCGTTATTTATATTACATCGTTATTTTATGTTATAAAGTTTATTATTGTTATTATACATTGTGAAAATTAGCATTATATTTATTTTAATTAGATATTATTAACATTAGTAGGTGTTTACTTTATACAAGTATATTTACTATTTGTAAACATCCTTGAATGTAAAACCTTAATTCAGAAATAAATGATTGATTGATTGATTTAAATATATTTGACTATTAATATGGGTTTTGAGGTTTTGTTGATGAGAAAGGAAATAAACTAGATGATGAAAAAAGTTTATAAAATGGAATGACAGATACAGTAAAAGGATGCAACTTTGCTGAATGACATGCCAAGTATCAACCTTTAGGTTGATCGAACTAGAGATGATAGCTCGTTTGAGCAGCCACTGTAATAGTATTTGTAGAAGAAAAAAAGATGCAACCTTACAACAATGAGAGAGTGGCTCAAGTTGGGTAAATAAAGCAGGTCAAGCTACATTTACAAAGTGCTGTTGGACTTTATCTGAGAGTGAGAGGGTTTTTACTTGTCAATATAGGGATGTCAACAATATTGTAATAGTTGTTTGCAGTAAACAACTTAGTTTTATTGGAGTAAAAATCCACAAGCCACTCCATAGAAGTTTTCTATATGATGCCCTTCACTCATTCCATTTGCTACTATCAACTGCAACTAGTTGTACACCTTAAAAAAATCATTCAGTTTTTCTTGGCGCTCATTGTGTGGTACTTCTTTACCCTTTTGGTTAACTCCTGGTCCCATTTTCTTTCTTAGATAATTTGTACAAACAAAAATGATAATCTTGTTGATAAAGTCAAATTAGTGGATGTAAGTCCAACATATGTTAATAGTCGTTACCCAGATGGACAAGAGTCAACTGTTTCACTTCAAGAACTTGTAGCACATTCTGCGTGACAAGAAAAGTCTATTATTGATGAGTATATTATTAAGGAATCTAACAAAAATGTAACTACATAAGTAATTGATTTAAATAACACTCCATCACCTGAAATTAAATAAAAGTTAAAGTAAATAATCCAATAAATAATTTATCTACTGATATTCTGCAATGCTCTATTAGAATTTACAAATTTCTAGTAAAATATGATGACTTTATATTACAATGATGAAACTAGAGTATTGATTTATAATTATAGATGGGAAGATTGTTGTGATTTCTAGTATTTATATTATTATTTATTTTGTTATTTGTGTTTTATTTCACATTTCTATTATTAACATTTTATCAAAATATTTGAGTAAATTAGAAAAAGAATAAGTCAAAAGATATTTAAATAGTTTTATTAAACATGGTTATTACTTACTTATAATAGTTTACTATCATTTGTATGGCTGACATATTCTTTTTAATTATTTAGCGCAATGGTTTTGGTTTTGTAATTATTTTTAAAATTTGCTCATTGTATAACCTTTTATGTCAGTCAGTTGACATAGCACAAAGTAAAATGTATTGGTTTCATAAGTTTTATTTAAATTGGTTTGTTAATAAAAATACTACAATATTTTTATTAACTAACTTTTTTCATTTCAAAAAATCTATAAAACATACCTTCTAAGTTCTGCAATTTTGCCTTGATACTCAAAATAGTTTCAAATGGGTTTACACGCAATTCAAAAACTGTACCAGTAAGAGTTTTAATATAAAGATCCATATTATTTAGCTGGCTTCAACACCAGCACAAAAAAGTATATGTTCATTCCAGATGTTGTAAAGATATTAAATAAACATTCTCTACCTAAGAAAGCAAAATAAATTTTGATTTATCAGCAACAACACAAAAATAAAAAACTAATTAAGCTGATATATATATATATATATATATATATATATATATATATATATATATATATATATATATATACAGCAATAGTTTTTTAAAACTTGCCGATCAAATGTAATTTTTTGACAAAAACAGCTTATTTTCCCTTGAATTTTTCTAAATTTCTCTAAAAATAGCCGATCATTGATCGTTGATCGGCTGTTATTTCGAGCGCTGTATATATATATATATATATATATATATATATATATATATATATATATATATATATATATATATATATTAGGGCTGTACTGGATTTAATTTTTCCAAATCCGGCCGGAGCCGGATTTGCTGGATTTCTACTAACAAATCCGACCGGAGCCGGATTTGCTGGATTTCTACTAACAAATCCGGCCGGAATCGGAGCTGGAGCCGGATTTTGAAGCAAAACTACAGGAGCCAAAATCCTGTGCATCCCTACTTGGTGCTGAAAGTGGTCAACAATGTTGACTTCTTTTTTTTTGTTGTTAAAAAGTTTTAAAGCAATTTCTATAGAAATTATTAGACATTTTATATAAATTCTATAGAGTTTCTATAGGCCATGTTTCAAAAATTTAGAGAAATTCTATAGAACTTTTTTTTCCGGGATGTTGACACTCCGTCACTGTAGTGAATCAGAGTATCGATATATTTCTGATTCTTCCAGATATTGGCTTAGCTGAGTATCAATGCCTATTGGTAATTGCTGTTTATGTGCTGTGCCACAAGCGGGCGTAGACTGAATAATTTCATCTATATATTGCGCCATTGTAATGATGATAATGTAAAAAAACTATCCAGCCGGGCTTGTTTTGCTGGATTTTCATTAGTTAGGTCAATCTGCTGTTCAGCATGATCAGATTGACTTCAATCTTGCTTTTTCACCTGTCAGTGTTGCCTGTAATAAAAAGAGTTTAGTTTGAAGTTATGGATCAACCAGTGTCACCACTATATAAAAAAGTCTCTCCTCAATGCCTTTAAAACGCTCATCCAATGACTTGATTAGGATTGACTTCATAGTCTTTACATCTGCATTATAGCAGAATATCATGTGTCTTACCTTCAGAATTTTTGTTGCGTTGTTGTTTGAAATTATGCTTAGCTAATTAAATTGTAAAGAAATGTAAATATAAATACTAAAACAAACATGAAGTTCATAGACTATAAAATTACTAAAAAATTGATTTGTAAAAATAAAATATTAAGTATAGATGTTATCACGGGCAAGAAAGATGTAATAAATATCTGACCAAAATTCAGAAATCCGGCCAAATTTATGCCGGATTTACTGACATTTTGCCAGAGTCAGATTTAGGCCGTATTTGTAAAAATGGCCGGATTTTGGCCGGAGCAGGAGCCGGAGCCAAAATTCGGTACAGCCCTAATATATATATATATATATATATATATATATATATATATATATATATATATATATATATATATATATATATATATATATATATATATATATATATATATATATATATATATATACATATATATATATATATATATATATATATATATATATATATATATATATATATATATATATATATATATATATATATATATATATATATGAGGCGGATCTAGGGTACAGCACATTAGGTGGCTGGTTTTTATATACAAAAAAAAAAATGATAAATGGTTACAAAGCAAATATATTAGAAGAGGTATTTAAAAGAAAAACAATAAAAAAAATTGGATAGCTGTAGGATTCAAACCACAGGTATTTCATTTATGAAGTAAATGTCTTATCCAAATAAGTTAAACGAGCCTATAATAATGAACAAATAAATATAACTATATAATTGAAAAAATAATGTAAAGCCTATGATGATATGAATATGTGCATAGATGAACAAACCAACACAAGTGTATAATAACATATAAGCTCATGTGTACAATAATTTAATGTAGCAAGTGTATATTGCTAAAATGTAATAATATATACTTGTTACATTAAAATTATACAAATAAATTTTACAAACAGATAGCAATTTATATTTTTGCTTTCCCCTTAAAAAAAACAAATAAAATATAGGAAAATCATTCTTTTTAATGTCGAATTAAAACTGTTTTTTTATTTTGCTTTGCGTTAACTAATATTGTTGCTGAAAATAATAATCACCCTAAAGAAACAAAAAAAAAAAGTACACAAATTATCTAAAATATGATTATTTTTTCCTATTTAAATTTATTTTAATTTCTTACTTTTGCTTTCTTTGAAACTTAATTTTTTCCTGCAAAGTATTAAAACGCATAATATAATGCAAAAGGCTGTGACCAAGTTGTCTGAAATAAAAAAGTTATGCGTAGATATACAAGACGATAAACCGCACTAGTCTCCTGGGAAGGCTGAAAATAGTTTTAAAAGTAGAAAGATTCTATTGCAAACATTAAACCAGTGATTATTACAAACGTTAATCAAAAAATTAAATTAACAAAATTTTAAATTAAAAAAAGTTCAAAGAAATTTTTTTCTAAAAAAATAATTTAAGCATAAATTTTTTTCACTTTTTATTGCAAAACAATTTAAATGAAAAAAGTGAATGAAAACATTGACTTAAAAAATATTTAAATAAAAAAAATACTTATACTTAAATTTTTAACAGTACGCTAGATCAAGAAACAATAAATTATAAAAAAACGTGGTATCTAATGTTTTTTTTCCTTTGATTTTACTTGTTTGGTCTATAAATTGTAGACTCTTATGGTCTGCAAGTATGAGGTTCTATGAAGATACTGTTTTAATTAACACAAGTTTAAGGTTTTATGACAATATTTTAATTTATTAATTAATTAGAACAATTCTAGTTATTTACTTTGTTTAATTTTAAACATGTTTTATCATATTAAAGCTATTAACTGCATAAAACAGCATCACGGAGTTGTTTTATTGTTGTTTTATAGTTTTTACAATAACAATTCAATACTCTCAAACAAGTGATTAAAATTTGTGTTAGCTTTCCAAAACTTTGGGGATTTTAACAACCAACCACCAGCCTCATTTGAATATCTGAATAAATTTAGAATGGTGCTTGATTTTGGTCCAATTAAATCAGTCAAACAAGTACTCTGCTTCAGAAGAGAAAGTTGTGGAAAGCCTATACCATGTTCACAGTTTTCTTTTATATTTTTCAGAATTGTTTTAGCAATTTTAGTTTTATTACAATAGCCAAACATTCCACTTTACCATTGACCTCAGATACCAGCTTTGAATCCCAGTGAATGGAAGAGTACATGGGTGAAATTAATGTTTTCTTAAGATCATCTGAAACTTACTGTCAAATTTTATTACCTGATCTGTTTGCTGTGCTTTTTGAGATAGATATTTCATCTAAATTGTGACCTAATGCTTCAGCTACAGCTAAAATGATTCCAGATCTTTCTTTCTTGGATAGATTTAACCTAACAGCCATTAAGGAAACTTTAGGGTTTTCTAATATCTTGATTTTTTTTTCTGTCTAGCAATAGTACTTTCTTCATTTTTATTATGAGTTTTGTCTTCATTATGAAATGCTGCCAATACATTAAAACTTTTTTTTTTTTTAATGTTTTCCTTTCTAGATTTCTCTTTTTCAATAGCCTTGATTTTATATTTCTCTTTATCCTCCTTTTTTTTCACTTTAATAGCATAAATCTTGTCTAATGGGCCCAAAAATTGTTTTTTTAAGTGACACTAATCTGAGAGAAAGTCTATACCTGAGATCTGACTATTGATACTACGCGAGGTATCTTTTCTTATCAAATTTTCTGCATTTGATGCTGCAATGTCAAACAAGGATGATAGTTTATTAGTAAAACTCAGAAGTTGAGCAGCAAAACATTTTTTTTTTGCATTTTTAATCAAGTTCTCTCTAAGATGAATCAGATGCAGTATCATTCTAACAATATCTTTCTTCTGTTTTATTGAAATTCCTGCCATTTTCCAAAAAACATTAACTTTTTTCCAAACTACAGATGCAACTTCTTTTTTACGAGTTAATTTTAAGTCAAATATTGTAAGATAAAAATAATGGCGTACAACATCTCCATTTGTTGGTAATTGATTATACATCTTTGCTTTAAGGGTAGATTATAACTTACGAACAATATTATCAAATTTCTCATCATTTTCCCTCAATTTACTATTGCTCATAATTGATCAAATATTTTTTATATATGCTATTATATCTATAGATAAAAAAGTAACTATAAGTTATAAAATTATTTGAATAATGTATGTAACATTAATATTCATCATAAAAATTCTCTCATCTCAAATATTGCAAATAATATTATTTAATAGTTTTTGAAACAAATATAAAATTATTTAAAAATTTTTGAATTGAAACAAATTATATTTACTAATATTAGCTATGATACATAGTTTAGAATAACAATAGTGATCAATATTGATACAAAACATATTTAATTGCAATAATACATTTAAATGTTTAGCCTAAAATCAGTTTTTAAGTGAATAAGTGAATAATTTTGAAAAAGTGGGCGGCAGAAGGGGAAAAAACTTTAAAAAAAGAGTGGGGGGGGGGTCAAACTTTAAAAATTTTCAAATATCTTCTTATTTTCACTTTTAACAGACAAAACTACACACAAAACTAAAGGAAAACTTTTTTTTTTTTTGGGACACCCTATTATATATATATATATATATATATATATATATATATATATATATATATATATATATATATATATATATATATATATATATATATATATATATATATATATATATATATATATATATATATATAAATAAAATGATATATAACAAAGTCTTCAAATATATAAACAACTGATCTCAGAACAATTATCTCAACCATATTTTTGATATTTAATTATTATGAAGCTTATAAAGTTTATAAAGATGTTATCTTTTAAAGATATAAATCATTTAGGTTACAAAAATGGGTTTTATAAACAGACCCTTAATTTAAATGTTGAAGAGTTCTTAGTTAATGCAATATGTGTTTATTTTTTTATGCAAAAAATTTTATTTCTGTGTTTTATAGTATATATAAATAAAATAGTTTTATAGTAAATATAAATAAAAACACAAACTTTATATTTATTTAAATTTATGATTGATGAGAATTTAAAGGCTGCAAGCTAATTTATTTAGCTTAATTATACCATAGTATTAGTTACTTTTAAAAATTACTTCTAATCAACATCAGTGATTGATTAATAGAATGTTATTTTATGAGTTTATTAGGTCACATGATTATTTTACGAACTTTAATTAGTTAAAAAATTGCAACACAAATCAATTATGTTGATGCAAGCAATACAAATCAATTATGTTGATTCAATTTGCATATTTATTGACACAGATAACTCATTAAGGAAAGCTTAAATTCATAAAAAATTAAATATTTTTTTCTAGCCTTAAATGTAGGGTAAAGCGGGGCATTAAGCCCCATGTTTTTAAGAACTTTCATTTCTTCTATTCAAAGTAAGTAAATAAATATTAAATTCAAACTCAAAAATGTTTTTAAGTAATAGACAACACATATTTCTTCAAGTACAAAAGCTTTACTCAAAAAAATTTATAATCTTACAGTGAAAAAAAAGTTAAAAAATTACAACTAACAATAACTCAAAATTTGAAAAATGGGGGCAATAAGCTCCAAATGCTAAACATATATTTTCACATTGTTTGTAGGCAAATTTCGCAGATCCATTCCATGGCTTCAATATCAGCCCCATCTGGAATTTCTGTGCATTTAACATGATACCAACCATCACATAAGTCACAGCAGACCCACTGTTCTCCGTGACCTCCATGAATATTACACTTTAGGCACACAGTGTCATCCTCCTCATCACTGTTCCTATCATCTCTAGCTGGAAGATTTTTTTTCTGGTGATCTTTTTTCTTGGAGTGATCTTTCTTTGCTGCTTCATCTTGCAGTCACTTCAAACATTTATTACCTGTTAGACTTTCTTCGTAGCGAAATCTGGAGACTCTAGCTGACCTGCGATATCCTGAAGTTTGGGCAAATCTAGGCTGAAGTTCTTTGAGAAAAAAGTCTCTAATAGAAGACTTTCCTGATGATGAAGTAGACAATGATGTTTGCGGTTCTGCAATTGCTAAAGCAGGTGTTGAAGCAGGTGCTGAAGATAAATATGATAATTCTGTTGATGATGCAGCAGTTGACAATGATGTTGAATATGATACACATAGTAGTGATGTTAATGCAGAAGCATTGTGAGCACTAGTGATGGGAAGTACTTTTGTAGAGCATGGCACAGTTGGAGTGGGCAATGTGGGTTTTTCTGTAGCATTTTTTGTAGACATCATAACTTGAGGACACTGTTTAAAGTAGCTTATGTCAATGACATCCTTGTTAAATCGGAAAATGCCAGTTCCCTTAAAACCACTTTTGACTTATGAAATGCTTTTTTGATACTGGTCCATAGTGCATTCTTGCATATTTCAATAGCAGGCTTTGCCATTTGCTCTTCACAGGTCGGAAAACTAATGTATCCAGAGGTTGGAGAAGATGGGTTAGATGAGAGGGCAAACGTAGTAGGATGACATTGTTATTTTTTGTTGATTCAATAAGAGGCAAGCTCACACGTGAGGCATGTCCATCAAATATGAGGATTCTTTTGTGGCTTTCAAGATGTTTTGTGTTTTTAAGAAAAATATTGTGAAACCAATCTAAAAACTGAGGTAATTCCATCCAGCTCTTCTTACTTGTTGTATAACCAGAGCCACCCTGAACCCAATCACAATACAAATTTTTTCCCTTGTACACAACATAAGGTGGCAGAATCTAGCCGCTTGCAGAGCATGCAAAGTTTACAGTTATTTGCTTGCATCCTGAGCCACCAATGCTCTGAGTCACTCTAGTAGCACCTTTTTCTGCTAACACAACTTGGGTTTTTAGGTCAGTGACAAAATCTGCTTCATCGCAGTTGAATATTTGACTTGGTAGGCAGATAACTCCAGCATCTTCTAGAGTTTTCTGGACCAGTTGTAACCATTTCTTAATGACCTCAGGGTCTTCAGCCTTGGCTCTCGCATTGCTGAGGTGTTCTGTTTTATTTGGAACTACTTTCGGATGACGTCGGAAAAAAGCAACACACAGCCAGTCCCTACTTGGTTGACCATCGATGAAAGGAACATCAATACCATTTTCTTTTACAAATTCCTGTATTATGTCTTTTATCTCCTCTTTACTAAAACCCCAACCGCACTCAGCTAACACAAAAGGCAGTCTGCCCGTTCTTCTTCTTGCTTAGATGTTAAAACAGTTTGCTTCCCTGGATGAGAATTTACTTGTATTTCCCTTCATACTCTTCTTAAAAGAGCCTTTTTATCAACTCTATAATGCATGGAAGCATGGTTGGCAGATATCTGCTTACATATGACGGAATTATAGGCATCTATCATTGCTTGGATAGTTGCATATGTCTTCCTTCCTTGTTCCTCTCTCTTTTTGTATGTTTGAACCATTTTGCTAAATAAAGAGGGCAATAAGCTTCATTATCAAAACTATATTTAAAACAATATTAAACTATTTTTAAAAATAAATAACTTTTGTTTTCAATTTAAACTATATCTGTGTAATGTTTTTAAAATTAAAACATTGATTTTATTTATCTGATCAATTTTATTTGGTTGTTTTAATCAACCTTTTGGCATTTGACTAATGCAATAATGTTAGTCATTTTAATTTTATCAATGGAGTAAATGGAGTAAATAAAGCTTAATGCCCCATGGGGCTTAATGTCCCACATTACCCTAATTGAACTCAATTGAAAGTTTATTTTCACAAAAAAAAATTTGAAGTGATTGAAGTGACTTTCATCAAAACTTGTATATGGGGCTTGTCAAAAACATTTTGGCTTTACTGGCACATAACTTTTGACCAAATATGTTGCTTCCTCTACAAGTTTTAAGCTTAAACAGTCACTATTTAAAAAACAAATAAAATGAAAAGAAACATCTGGAAAAAAAAAGCTATAAAAATTTTTTTAGATACATTTCATTTTCTTCAAAAAACAATGTGTTTTGATCAAAAACTCTACGTATTAAAAACTTTTATGTAAATAAACATGAACAATAAAATATTGGAGCTTTTAATCAAATAAAAATTGATTAAAAACTCCAATATTTTAGAGAAAAAAATATCAGTATATTTTGAAAAAAAATTATAATATAAGAAATATTATTTACCATATATATTATTTGCGTCTTTGATCATGTCCTTTATTCTAGTTCATATACCTTTCTAATTTATAACTTATTCTATTTGTCTTTCTGTTTTGTGTGATATATTTTTTAATAATGTGCAATGATTTGTTGGCTTTTGTTTAAAAAAACTAATCATAAAAAAATAAATTTCATATTAACAAAAAACTTTATTATCTATATTTTTTTAATTATTACCTATTATTGTAGTTCCACGATGGAAACCAGAATACGAATTCCATCTACGTAAAAACAATAAAAATTTACTTGATTAATAAATACGTATTTTATTTACGGAATTAAAAAAAAATTGTAAACATACATCGATGTTTCAGTTTCCTTTCATATCGCATTAGAAGAATGACGGGATTCTCAATTAAATACTGTTGTCAAAGATACGTCGTGGTCATTTACGAAAAAATATTGGTAAGATGTTTTTTTAATAGTAATTAATTCAACGAGTGAACAATGACTTTATCACTTGATTTATTCGGAGGAAAAAAATTTTTTGTGTAAAATTAAAAAATTACATTGTAAAAAGTTTTAGAGGAGCCGTCCATAGAGCAAATTTAAGAAATGTTTAGAATTTCGTCCTTTTACTTGAGATTGTAAAAGTGTAAATTAAAAATTATTTTTGATTTTTAAAATATATGTATACTATTTTATTTTTTTATTTTCGTTGTCGTTTAATAAAATTTACAATAAGAAAGATCGTACATTTATAATAAATGGCCGGAGCAAGGAGAAGTTGTATATAGTTTTATCGCAGATCCCCGTTTACATTGTCATCATCAGTTTATGTAACAAGTTAAAAATTTACAAATTGACATTTTTATAATAAAACACAATATATTACAGGTAGTAATTCGTATAATAAGATATTTATATTTCCGTATAGTATCTATAATATATAATCTTATGTATAATAAAATGTATAATAAGTTTATACCTTTCTCCGGTATGATTTTCAAAAGCAGTATAGAGAATCGTCTTTAAAACAACATTGACTTAAAGGAATGTAGATTTAAGTTTTTTTTATTTAACAACTTAAAGTAAATCTAGATAATTTGGTTTTCTGGTTTCACAGGTACCAATTTAAATTGAAGTGCGAACGAGAAAGTTAAAATGCAGACATTCATTCGGAAAATCAATGCTCGCATTGCTTAGGTAAATTTATAAAAGTTTTTAGGTGTGCCATATAATTGCAAAAGAATCCATAATTAGAAGATAGACAAGGAATTGAAAACGATAGAGAAGTAGAAATTAAACTTGGCTTCGCCTTCAAGTTCAGCTAAAAGTCTTCTGCCAGGGAAGTCTGATTTCTCGATAAACGCCAATTTGTCTTGCAAGTCGGGTTTTTTCACTCGACAAGGAGGGGGCTAAAAAGGTCTTTTTTTTAAAAAAAAGGTCCGGATATTTTTATTTATAAGTAACTTTCTTTTTTAATTTTTTGTACTTTAGTGTAATAATCAAGTTCATATACGTATAACTACGTATAATAGTCAATTCCATTCGTCAGTACAATAGTCCATTTTTGTGTCATAGTCAATTTACAAAAGAATATTTCTGAAAAAAAGTCCCAAGGAGGGGGGGCTACTACCCCACTGTTGTCTTGCTGCAGCTTCTTTTCAAAATTTTCAAAACTTGATACAATCTTCTGTCCGAAAATAAACCGAGAACTATACAGTTTATATTCCACTTTTAAATCAATTTCAACAGCTTAAAGCATTTCGTTCCTTTTTTTGAACCTTTTATATTTGTGCTTCAGATTACTATCCTCACGAATGTTTTCAGCTAATCTATTTTTTGAGAGGTCTACTAACTTCTACTATTGTGTTCCCTTATGCGTTTTGTCTTTATCCAGCTGTTTCAAGGCAACCTTGAAGTTTATGTGCATAGTTTATATATACAAATATAAAAACACTATTGACAACTACGAACTTAAAATAAGATATTAAAAAAACAATGCAGCTGACGAATTTTATTTTTTTGACGTGCGTGCAAAAGTGTTTATTGTTATGCTTTTGTGTTTTGTTTTTTTATTCTAAAAAATAGATTTAATATATAAAAATACTAGATTCTGCCTTTTTATTTTAATTTTAATAATTAATTAATTTTTTGTTTGTTTTATCAACTTAAAAAAAAAGTAATTTTTTGTTGGCTGGCCCCTCCAAAAATCCTGGCCGCCTATGCTGCTGGACATGTATAAAGACCCGACCTATATATATATATATATATATATATATATATATATATATATATATATACAAAATAGAAATATATATATATATATATATATATATATATATATATATATATATATATATATATATATATATATATATACACAGTCTTAGTCTTTAGATTCGGAGATACACGCGTTTTAAGAAAAGTATGTTGAAAGTTTTAAAACTAATTTTATTCTTTTTTCGAGCAGTTTTATCATTATTTAGAAATTGTTTTTGATATAAATAATCAAAATGTACGTTAACTTCATTATTATGTGAAAGTTACACAGTTTTAAAGTATGTTCAAAGTCATTTTTTACTGTAATTTCATTTTTAAAACACTTCCTTGTAAAATTTTCAATAGTAATGCTATCAACTTAATTTTTGTTTTATTTTGTGGCTTATTCCTAACTCTATGCAACTGTATAAGTAACTCCATTTCTAAGATTTGCTACCTTTTTCTGTAAGGCGCCTCATATATATATATATATATATATATATATATATATATATATATATATATATATATATATATATATATATATATATATATATATATATATATATATATATATATATATCAGTTTCAAAACTTTACTAAATTTATGGATTTGCTTTTTTTTCATTAAAAGTCTTTCTGACTTTGCTAATGCACATCCGTAATGGTTATAACTTGAAAAAGAAGGGGTCGTTAAAATGTTTGCAAAATTACATCCAAGATTATTAGAACATCTTTTCTTTTAGACGATTAACAATTGTTGTAATTAATAGAATACTTATCATTAAGACCAAACGTTTGTTGTCTATTTATTTTTCATCTCTTACATTATATTAAAAATTGCGGGAAATTTTGTGTTTAATTATAATCTTTTAAAAATGACCTTGCCGCCTATATGGCTGGACATGTGTAAAGACGGGCCTGTAAATTATACAGGTCCGTCCTTACACATGTCCAGCAGCATAGGTTAAAGTTTTTTTACAAACAAGTTATTTTTAAACAAAACTTGCATATTAATAAAAATATTTTAAAATACATGAGACATTCTTAATTATATAAAATGCATTTATGTTTTGCAAAATTTAGAATTTTACGAGTAATAAAACATTTTGCTGAAAAAAGTTAGCAAACCAAAAATATCGGTTTATTTAGAAAAAAAATGACGCTGAATTCGAACCCGCAAAGAATTTCAGTAATTGGCGGCGCCTCTGATCTAAAACAATGAGCAGCCGTGGCGCACTTGCCTCAGAAACAAAGGATCCGCGGTTCAAACCCCACCTATGGGCAAGTTTTGCGACATAGGTTTAGAAGGAGGCATGAACTTTAAATTTTTTTTTTTAATTTTTTATTAAGGTGCTCCAAGAAGTCATTACGGACTTATCACAGAGCACCACGGATGAGCATTTAATTGAAAGTTCACGCCTCCTTCCTAACCGGTATCGTAAAACTTGCCCAGAGGTGGGGTTTGAGCCACGGATGCTTTGTTTCTGAGGCAAGTGCGCTACCACTGCGCCACAGCTGCTCAATTAAATTAAATGCTCATTCGCGCATATACTCTTTTATTTCATTGTTTTATTTCGCGGAGGTCATTTTTTGCAATTGTACGTTCTCATTACATCGTCGCTAACATTATTTGTATGCTCGTACAAATAATGTTTACATAATAAAAACCTTAATTATACGCAAAAAAATGTTTAAATACTTTAATTTTTATTCAATTCAATTCAATTCATATATATTCTGAAATAGTTGTTACATTCACGGAAGTTTACAAATAGTAGATGTATTAATCTTAAGTAAAAACCTTGTAATTAAAAGCTAATAAATAATTGATTAATGCAAATAGTAATATTAATCATCCACAGCAGTAACAAAACGAACATTGCTAAAGTTGAAGTTGTAAAAATACTAATAAAGATAATAATAAAAGTTGTAGTTGTATCAGTAATAACAATACAATTATAAAAGTACAGTGATTATAATAAAAATAAAATGACAGAAATAAAAATAATTACAATAATCATAAAATAAAAATACTAGTAATTTAGTATTAGCCATATAAATACACACATATACAGACCCATACAAACACACACATACAAACACATATTCAAACTTATGTTCACAAATACATATAAACACATATACTTATATCCCCCTGTATTCAATACAGGTATGTATGCATTTATTGTATACAAACATAATATACACCCATATATGTAGATTCGTATATACTATACACAAATAAACGTATATACACACACTTACATATACATACACACATACATATACACACATACATATATAAACATAGCATAAAATAACACAGATACATACACATATACAAACATGAATACATATACACACATTTAATAATATTATATATGTATATATTATATACACCAACACATATTCGCATAAACACACACACACACTCACACACATATATATATACACATACACACATGTATATACATACATATACTCACCACTTATTCACATGTGTGTATCACAAAAACTTAAACACAAATACATATCTTTGAATTTATTAACTGTATTTGATTAGGAAAGAATGGTATAGGTTACTCTTGAAAATATAGATTAAATGGAGAGCTTTTAGGTCATAGGGAAGGTTATTCCAAGATTTTATACTTTGGTTTTTTATGGACTTATGTACATAAGTAACAGAACGATGTTGTAAGACTGCAAGATTCAGATTATTAATTGATCGAAGATAGTAACGGTTATTTGCTTTTTTTAGGAAGAAATTGTTGAAGGTAAGAGGTAGGTTTTTGTGTTGGTGATTCCAGACAAACTGGCAATTCAAGAATTGAACAAGGTCACATAGTTTAAAGGGATCCCTAAGTGCTCCTAACATATGATCTCATATAAAAGAGCATAAAAAAAAAATATGTAAGTCTTTTTTCTTTTTCCCTAAATTGTAATAATAAATGCATGCTAACAAAAAGCAATTGCCGAAATCCACTGATCTCAAAATATAACTGGATAGCGGATTCTATTGTTTTTTCCGAAAAAAGTTGAAGCCAAAACTGGCCTCCCAAGATGGCGGCGATTCAAGTTCCTAGCGAATAAACCAATATAGATTTTATATGGTTTTATCAAACTACGATAAAAAATATTTAAATAAGGCTAATAAATTTGTCAAAAATAAAAGA